CCCTAAACCCTAAACACCCGAAGCCCGAAGCCCCTAAACCCTAAACCCTAAACCCTAAACCCTAAACCCTAAACCCTAAACCCTAAACTAAACCCTAAACCCGAAGCCCTGGAGTCTAAACCCTGGCAAAACCTACCCTCACCCAAACCCCCTCCGCCCTTCGCCTTCCAGCCCGAGACCCCGGAGACTCTCAGGTCCCTCATGGGGTGGCCGGGTTTAGGGTTTAGGGTTTAGGGTTTAAGGTTTAGGGTTTGGGGTTTAGGGTTTAGGCCGAACCTTCCGGGGGTCCCTTGTTGGGGGTCCCTCGTTTTCAGGGATCCTATAGGGTTTAGGGCTCTGAACCTTCCCTCGTTTTCAGGGATCCTATAGGGTTGAGGGTTTAGGGTTCTGAAGCTCTCATATGCCTTCCGGACACCCGAAGATCAGAGGTGTGCGGAGACCGTTCTGCTGCTCGTCAGAGTCGAGCTCTCGGGGGGTCCATGGTTTGGTGCTTCAGGGCTTGGGCTTGGTCTTAGGGTTTCAGGCTTAACCCTAAACCCTAAACCCTAAACCCTAAACCCTAAACCCGAAAAGCTCAGGTTTAAGGCCCGGGGCTCTCATTAGCCACAGACCGGGATCCTCTTTCTCTTCAGAAGGCCCGGGGCTCCGATACTTGCGTCGAAGCGGCGGGATAACGATGAGGCTCAGGATCTCCTGCGGACTACAACGAGCTACCCGAATCAAGTCGCCACGCTAGAATATTCGGTTTTTTTTCATCTGCAAAGCCCGAAACGCCGGAATTCAAACCAGACCTGCCCGCCTTGCCTGAGTCTGAAGGAAGACCGTCGCGTGAGGTGTTGGATTTAGGTTACCCTTCACCGTTCGTGAAATCTACAGGCACGAAACTTGATGCAATGTATCACCAGCCCGAGCAGCCATATTTCGATCTGCTTCACGATACCTGGGACGAAGCATCCTGGCGTTCCGAAAGTTGCGTCTGCAGGGTGAACCAGCGCCGCACTGCAACACACATGGTTTCCACATGTTTCCATAGGCAAATCCTCGACCAGTCATGGTGCGTGCTGGTGTAGATGCGAGATCTGCTTTGTGGCGGACATGTCCTCGACCATCCAGTCGAGCCGCTGTGTTCTTGAAGAGCAGTGATCGAGAATGAGTGGCTGGCTTTGCGAATGTCGCATGGCTTGTAATTATGCCATGCAGGCCCGAGGCCATTGCCGAAACCTTTGGAGGTGATGCCAAGTAGCAGAAGTTCTACCAGAGCCTCCTGACTTTTGAGCATGATCCACGGGCAGACTTCCGGTGTTCTGGCGATGCGTCTGTAGGGCGTAGAGACTTTGGCCGACTCGCCCTCATTCTCAGGTCAGTGTTGGTGCATGGCCTTGGTGAAGGGAGTGAATGTGTTGCTGATGCCGCGGACCTCGCCGTTCACAACTGTGCACTCGATGGCCTCCGTCTCGCGCAGCAACCTATCCAAGAGGCTATGCTCGGCCTGATGGAAAAAGCAATGGAACCCGACATGGTCGCAAACTTGCGGCATATCGGACTCTGCATGCGAACTCTCGAGACGGTATTGCGATCGTTGAGCAACCCTCAGCGACAGAAGTGGGTCGCCCTGTTGGTAAGGTTGCTGCTGGAACCGACAGTTCCCACTGGGCCAGTGCTTAAGGCGATGGGAATCACATGGCACACTGACGCCGATCCCTGGCTGACCCATCCAGAAGCAGAGAAGCAGTTGACGCTTTTCGCAAAGTCAGCCTCAGCGGTGGTGAGGGAGATGGTGCTGCATCTGATTGACACCAAGTGATGCTGTCAATCAAGTGCATCACCTTCTCCCTTACCAACGCTAAGGCTTAACTGAAGCTTGCCTCCAGGAGCCAATGTGCATAAGATAATGAGGGTGCTAAAGGTGACTGCAGCTGGCACAACCATGTGATGATCTCTAGGACCCACATGAAAGAGTCTCCGTCCTCAAGAATGTCGTCACAGCGACTTCAGCCGATTGCCCCTCATTCTGACGTCGGTCCGGTCGTGGTGTATGGCCTTGGTTGTTGGCAACAACTTCCATAGTTTGCTTCGGCACTGATGCATCCGTTCATGCTGCCATCCCGTTGTTCTCAACCGTTCGGCCGGTGGTCTCCGTGTTGTGCAGCAACTTATTGCACCCGCAACTGCTTCTCGAAACCTGGTGATCGAGCAGCTGCAGGTGATATGGGAAGCTGATGGCGATCCTGCGCGAACCTTTGCAGAAACAAGGCAGAAGCTGAAGCAGCTTTGTGACGGCCGATAAAGTTTACCTCCAAGAGCCAAAGCACGTCAAAGAGAAAGCTACTTTGAAAGAACTGCTTGCAGCCATCGTACACGTAACAGTCGTTAACATGACCATCACGATGCCCGAAACGTACTCTGGCCTTAGCCTCCGTGCAGCGGGATGCCTTGATCCATCTCCACCCTGGCTTCCTCCCAGATGGTGCGTCGAGGACCCACGCAAACTTTCGAAGTTTCCCGCCCCTTTCGGGTATGCCACCCTCAACCGTTCATGTTTCGGTTCTTGTGGGGGCTGCTACATTAGAGCCAAGGCAGCGTACGCCTGCATCTGGATCTGCGACTGGCGCCTTCAGCAGATGTGGCGCAAGAGGAAGTAGCCAGGAAAACAAGCTAAGTTTCAGGGTTCAGGGCTCAGGGTTGAGATGAGAAGCAGGACTTGCTGCTGCTAGGCTGCTGCCGTACAATACTCACTGCACATGTAACGATGGAGATGAGTCGTGAAGTCTTGTTTGGAGTGTTCGGAAGACTTTCCGTTACTGCTGTCGAGGAATGTGCAGCTGATTGAGACCATGGTTGCATTAAGCCCCAGGGCTGGGATGCGATCTTGCTTCCAAGTCTGGGAGACACGGTTGAGTTGAGTGTCAAAAGACAAACTGTGCTAGTGCAAGTATTTCATGAAGTTTCATGACCAGGCATCATGGTTTCTGTAGCTCAGCATTGAGATTCCGTTGTTTTTGCCCGCCCAATGTTATAGCGACTGCTGCTGAATTCCACGAAATGACTCCTCACGGATATGTAGCAAAAGTTTGAGAGCAGAAGCCGACTTCATAGCATCACGCACAGTGCGCTTTTATCAGTTTCGGCCAACCCAACAGCTGGCAGTTTTCGATCGGAGCTTCAGCGCGATGTCGTCCGGACAGCCGGTGCTGCCTGTGCCGCAGCAAGCCCTGCATGGATATGATGAAGTTCCGGCAACTGTCATGTCCTCGGTCGTCTTCAGTTTCGATGTGGCTTACCAGGGCCGCTAAACTTTAAGTTCTGAAGTAGTAACTAAGTGTTAAACTAGTAGACGTTCATCACGTGCAAGGCGAATGTGTGAGTGAGTTCAATAGAGTCAGAACGATGCTCAGACATGTAACAAATGATAGAAACTATACAACAGATAGTTTCTATATTTCATGGATAGCACACACTATATACTACGCGCATAATGCAACATGTATATTATATACTAGATAATTAGGAACCCCAAAAGGACATAAGCATAAGCATTTTATAGGGATGTCCCTACCTTATTGGGCTTCATTATAAAGGGATTTATATGGGATATCCCTATCCTAGTTTTTGCTCATGTGCTTTTCTGGGGCCCTAGATAACATACAACGTAAAACGTGGAGTAGATAGCTGAACATATCTCATACCCAATACCGCCAACACCTAATGTCTCATATCGAATACCCAATGTCTACTGTCTAATATCTCATATCTAACATTAAATACATATCACCTACTATCTACTACCTAATGCCGAGTATCTAATATCTCATGCCTGATGTGTAAAGGCGTATACTTATTAGTCATGCAAACAATATGTTCGTATTGTGAATATATCAATACATAGGTATGTAAACATAGTATACAGCAGTTGATAGTGTTGTTGGTGGCGGCGTGTGTGTATATATATATATATACACATAATATACAGATGTCTGTCTTTCTATCTGTCTGTCTGTCGGTCTGTCTGTCTGTCTGTATGTATGTATGCATGCATGTATGTATGTACGTACGTACGTACGTCTGTATGTTTGTTGGAATTACGCAGCCTCCATCTTGCGATGCCTCAAAGTCTAATCTGAAGGCAGCACATCCCAAATCACGAGCCCTGGAAGTTCTCGGGGAAAGAGAGGGACCTTGCTGTTCTGGAACACATGCCTGCGTGCCCGGTTCTTCCAAATTCCACTTGAAAGCCCGAAAGATATACACCCCACACAAAAGGGAAATCGTTTCAGAGACAGACTCCGAGCAAGAGGCGTGCGAACCGAGTTCTGTAGCGTCAGCGGATAGGACGCAGAGAGGGCCTCGATACATGATAATCTCTTTGCTTGTATCAGCCGTTTCCAGTCGAACAGCTTCGTTTGCCGCAAGACTTTTCTCTTGAAGGCTCCTGTTCTCGCCGTTGAAATCCCGAAGTGGAATCTGAAGGCACCGCCCCCGGCGGCATCGTTCCACGGGAATGCCGCGGCGTCGAGCCCTTGGCCTCTTCTGATCTGAAGCTTGAAGCACCTACCCGGACCTGCCCTTACAAAGACCCTACCTACCAGCCTACCAGTACAGACCTTATACGCAAGCCTTCCATACAAGCCGCAGCGGCACCCTAGACAAGATAAAGAATGAGCTGTTTTGAAGGAGCAAAGCCGGGCTTGGGACTTTAGCTCTCCGACCCTCCAAACCCAAAAGCCCCCTAAGCCTGTCTTCTTTAGGATTTGGCTAGCAGCATGTCTGAGAGAGAGAGATTAGGGTTGAGAGTCTAGGGTCTAGGGGAGGACGCACGAAGACAAGATGCAGAAAGCTTTGATTTGTGGGTTCGGGGCTAGACTGCTTCCGGGCGTTGTGATGTTGAGCCCAATTCGGGGGACTTAGGCTTTGGTTTTTAGGTTTAGGTTTCTTGGTGTTGGGCACTTTGGCACAGCATTTCCAAATGTTTACCGTGCCGAGGCATTCGGCACTTGCAGTTCCGCTTGCCGGGCGGCAAGCTCAAGCAGAGGCTCATGAACCAGCCGAGCAAAGCAGTAGGTTTCGTTGGTTTATGAACGTTGTGATGGTTTTGTTTTCTTGATTCGTTGAGGGAATGCAGTACTTGCCGGCGTTCAGGCTCAGCACTCTTGGGGTTTCGGGTTTAGAGGATTTTCCGGCTTGCAGCCCAAGACTAAAAGCCTTTACGGCCCGAGGCCCATAACCCGTTAAGGAGTCTCCACTCCACCCGTGCAACAGAGACCCAAACAAAACCTCCCAACCTACAACAAAGCGGCTGCAGAACCGGGCGCAGCTACGCTGCGCGGCGGCCAAGCATGCCCTGGGTTGAGGAGTTTACCTGTAGGTTTTAGGGCTTTCGGTGCGAGTGATTCTGATGCCCCAGCAATCACACCTCTGATTGAATCCTCAAATAGCCCTAACGAGAAGGCACCTCGTGACGCAGTCTGCGAGGCCGTCGTAGCTTTTGCTTTCTGTAGAAATCCGGCACGACGGCCCGAACATGTCTTCACAAATTGGCACACCTGGAACTCGAGCCATAGACTATGCAACCCCCAAAGGGCTACATGCAAATTCTGGGTGCCGCTGTGATATTCCGAAGCGTTGACCTCTAAGACCTCGAAAGGAAATCAAGGAACCCTGTAACCCTGTTGATTCTTAGGTGTTGCCACAGGGCTTTGCCTCCACATCCTGGTGGTGGCATTGGTCAACGCGCTGGAGCCCCGGATTGCAGTTGCTTGTGATTTCTTTGTACTCAAGTTTGGGGTTCGAGGTTCATCGGAGGAGCGATCCTACACCGTAAGCCCGCAAGTCCTTCTCCCAGAAAACAAGAGCATCCTCGGTCCTCAATAAGAAGAAGGGCCTGGTGAAGCTAAGAGCGACCGTGTTGGTGCCCATTGCTGGGCCCGAAGCTGCGACCCTCTTGGGTTCAGAGTTTAGGGGCAGGGGTTGAGAGTTTTTGCCTGCACGGGTTTAGGGCTTCAGAGGTCGGATGTTGAGGGCTTGCGGCCAGGAGCCATGAACTTCACGGTACGCCCGAAACTGTAGTCGTGCTCCCTCAAAGCCCCTCAGTGCAAAGCCCACGAAACACCCCCCAAAGCCGGTAGCATACCGCGACTCCGTCGAAGCTAGAACAAGTCTGGCTGGGACAAGGCTTGTTTGGGCGTTGTATCTCATCCTACTGACGGACTCCTACCCATGGCCTATGTGGGCTGCGGTCTTAGCTGAGAGAGAGTTCCAGCCTCAGTCAAAGGCTTTCTGAAGAGGGTGGCGTGGCTGCTTTGGGACGTCCGTGTCCGCACAGAAACAGTGCGAGAGATGAATGGCGGACTCTGTCGGAACCTGCTCGCGTCATGTCGCCGTACTCGATGACAACCGTGGCTTTATGCGGCCATCGAAGTTGATGCTGATCATTCTTGACGTGTCTAGATGGCTGCTGGCATGAAAATCACGGATGTACGCACCCTCGCGACCGAGAGCCCTAAACTCGTGGAAGTGGGTTCTTTTGTTACGTCCTTGCAGCCCGACACTCCCTCACTTGGAACTTGCCCGGTCTGGCTTCCCCGCCATGTGCGGTGATGCACACGTCCCCACTGCCTGCATTGCATGCCATCGTCAGGATGAAGGGTTGTGCGATACAGCTCAGAAGGCAAATCACCTCATACTACTCGCATGACCGGCAATGAGCTTGATCGCAACGGTACTATTAGATATGGGTAATCCCCAAGCAAGCTGCGCCCTCACGGGCCTGCTAGGTCAGCTTTGGCACATCGCTCTCGATCTTCGCGCACATCGTGAATGCCACCCGGCTCCTGATATCTGCAGGTCCAAGCCCGTAAATCCTAGCTGTCCCAGCTCCGATAGTTACGTTGCCTCTTAGCCTTCGGTGCCTGAGCTTTACCACAAGAGTGGAGGTTTAGGGCCTGGGATGTGTAGTGCCAGAACCTAAAAGCTGCTTAGGCGCCACCATCCTGCCGCAAGCTGCACTTCCGCCAGCCAGGGTTTAGGCTTAGGGCAGTTTAGGGTTTAGGAACTAAGAACCAAGGCTTTAGAAGATGTTCAGACCTGACTTGCCTCGTTTCTTTGTTCGGCCCCAAATGATTAAATGCCCCAACCTTGGTGTTTGTCTGAACTCTGCGTTAGCTTGCATCCCCTCAACCATAGACTGGATCCATCGAGGTCACTGAAGTCCCGACTATGGTTCACCCCCTTCAGGGGCTCGTCCATGCCACAATCAGGATCACAACACTTCGAGGCTCACATCAAACCGCGAAACTCTCAAACCGAAACTCCGTCAGAATATGAGCAACTGACACCCCGAGACCCAGATCCTCAACTCGAGCTGCTTTCTGTAAGACATGATAGGATTAGCTTGTGGTGCTTGAAGTGTGGGGGATCTTCTCGAAGCCCAGGTGCTGCCATGGACGCTGCCTAGTGCGGAGCTCACCTGAGGGTTACGATCTCTTTGCGGATCGTTCGTCCTGTCGTTGTGGTGAAGATGATGATGCAACCGTGGAGAGGAAGTCGCTTTCATGTTACATAGTAGCCCTGATTGAATAGGTAGTCCCGAGCTGCGCAGCGGGAAATCGGCAAGCCAGAAGCCGTGAAGCCAAGAGCCGCCCCCCCCCAAGGGCGAGAAGGATGTCCGAGGCCTCCTCGCAACTTCTTTGCCATTTCACCTTAGGGCTTGGCGTCGCGAGTCGGAGCCTGTTTAGCTTCATACCGGTTTTCGCCGGTTTTCTGAGGGCTGGTAGCCGTTGGCAATGGCTCATCCTTGCAGCAGCGGCCCGAAAGGGAGCACCATCTGTGGCTCCTGTCGTTTCTCGGACTTTCGGGTTCCTTTTTGCGGGCCACGGCCAGCACAGGGTGTACACAGACCACCCATTCCCAACAAGCCCATTTGCGGTCGGGGAGGTGGGTTTAATATGAAATTCAATCTTTCACGCCGCAGATTTAGTCTTTCAAGGCGGGGGGTTGGGGGCGGGGAGAGGGGTGACAGATGAAGTGTTTCACGGCGGGGGGTTGTGGGCGGGGAGAGAGGTGAAACGTTAGAAGTTGGGTGAAAGAATTGTTATCTGGCAGGGGGTCGAGGGCGGGGAGGGGGCGAAAGATGACATTTGATGTTTACCCTAAACCCTAAACCCTAAACCCTAAACCCTAAACCCTAAACCCTAAACTTCGCGGTGGAGGGTCGAGGGCGGGAGGCCGGTGAAAGCGCGTCGGGGGGTTGGGGGCGAGGATGGGGATGAAAGATTAGGGTTTAGGGTTTAGGGTTTAGGGGTTTAGGGTCTAGGGTTTAGGGTTTAGGGTTTAGGGTTTAGGGGATGACCTTTGATCTTTCACTGGCGGGGGGTTGGGGCGTGACGGGGGTGAGAGATTGACATTGATGTTTCCGGGTCGGGGCTGGGGGCAGGGAGGGGCTGATTTCTCGGAACAGGTTTTGGGGCGGGGAGTTGGGTTCAAAGATGAGGCCTTTTGTCTTTCACGCCGGCGGCTTGTGGGGCAAGAGGGGTGAAAGATGTACCTACGGCGGGGGTTGGTGGTGGGGAGGGCTGTGCAGACATAACATAATGTTATCTTTCGCAACTATGAAGGTAGTTATTCTGGCGCCTACTGCTGGTAGTTAGAGAGGTAGACGGACCAGACTTGATATACCAACAGGCAGAGAAATCCTGGAACACAGAGCCCGAAGGTGGCTGATGTCGGTGCTCGGAAACATCGACCGGCCCCCAGAGACGTTAAGGATGTATTTCTGATGCCATCCTTCGCAGTTTCGGGCTGATGGTCTTAGACTTAGAGCTAGGTGGGGTTAGGCCGGAGGGCTTTGGCTTTGGCTCATTGAGGAAAGGGTTTGGTTCTGAAGAGATTCGGGTTGTGAGGTGTGCAAGTACCGTTTGGCTTCCATGGCAGGACATTGGGACCTCGAGGGTTGTGAGGCTTTAAGATATGAAGAGCCTCGACCGCTAATGACCCACTGCTAAAGCCTAGTGCCAAGGTGCCTGAACTTTAATGCATGCGCCTGAAACGCCGAATCCCAGGCTCTTGGCAACTTCACTGTCTGGATGGTGTGCGGCGCTCGGCGACTTCGGACACACATCGCACATCGCTAGAGAACCCACGAACCTGTATACATGCAGTATTCCAACGAAGATGTGCAAACGCAACGAATGGAAGAGAGGTGTGCAGATGTGTCTATGTATGTATGTATGCATGTATGTATGTATGTATGTATGTATGTGTTTGAATT